AAAATGTTATACAATATTTGTAATAAGACATTGAAAAACACAATAAAGCGTTAGCACCGTGACATCGGTTTAAAAAATAAAAAAAAAAAAAACCTTGTACAATTTATTAGATATATATGAGTTTACAGAAACTAAACTATCTAATATTCATAATTGGCTAATACTTGGCTACTCCAAAAGTGCCCAAGTATAGTTATTACACTGATGTTTGCTAACAGAATCCACATGTGCTGCTACACACATTTAAAAAACTGCTATAGCATAGTACTTAGCTACCTATAGCCTTTAAAACTTTTCTTATCTAGATTTGGGCAAAATAGTTTATCTTTTATATTTTTATAATAGAAGAAAATAAATACCAAGTTTACAAAAAAAAGCTACAAATTCAGAAAAAAAATAAAATAAAAACAAAGAAAAAAAAAACAAAGCAAAAAGAGGAAAATAAACTAAATTTCTAAATTAGATTCAATTTTAAATAGGAGAAGATGAAAAAAGCAAAAAACCAACAACAAAAAAGTAAAACAGAAACAAAAACAAAAAACGTACACTATTAAATCTGTGTACAAGACTAAAAAATTATAACTAATGCAATATTAGATATCTCTATTTAAGATACATTTTAATGTAAAATTCTTCTTGATGTATGACCAATATCAGAAATGATTGAAATCTATATGCTGATTTTCTATTGGTAGCACTGTGAAGGTGACTATAAAAAATCTAAAACACATGGTTGCAATCTACAGCATTGTCTAAATTTGAAGGAAGTAAATAATACTGATTTTTTGACAGGGGTAAGCTGTTTTGCTCATTTTTTACAAAAATTTTGTAGAAAAAGCAAGTGGGTGATAGTGTAGAAAATAGCTTTTATACTCTTCTTTAAATAACATATATTTTTCTATACAAGTAGTAGAATATATAAAGCCTGCTAAACTGCTAATTTTCTTGTCAGTAGGTGATAAACCCTAAACTTGATAGCAAGTGATATATGAGAACTACTTCTAAATAACAAGTACTGTCTCCATGGTGGTAATAAGATCTAAGCCTGTTAGTAGGTAGTGTATGAGAACTATATCTAAATAACAGGTACTAGTTTATAGTTTTTATCAGTCTTGAGCCACCCTCCACTATCATAGTCTACTGTTTTTTGTAAAAAAAGTTTGTTGTGTTTTTGGTACAAGGGATAATTGGGAAGAGTTATGTCTGTATTACTATATTTATTATTAATTTTTTATTTGTGCTTATTTACTTAATTGATTTTTAAGTTTCTTATTAAATTAACATTAATATTAGCAGTTTAATTAAAAAATGCCATAATATAATATTTTTATAAACTTAACAAATCAAATATTAGATCAAGTTCAAGTAGTGCTTAGCAAAACTAAACTTTTGTTTGATACTAAAATACATGTAATGAACAGGCTTTCAAATTAATATAGTAATATAGTAATATAATAATACAGTAATACAATATTGATTTAAAAGTTAGCCTTTACAGGTATTTGGGTGTCAAAAAAAGTTTGATTTTGCTAAGTGCAAAGTTCAAATCTGATTCAAAATTGAACAAAAATTGAATATTTTTTTAAAATAGAGTTCAGTTCAAGTTTAATATTGAACTTTTAAATCAAGTTCAAGTTTATTTCAGGTTTAGTTTAAAAGTTCATAAACATGTTCAAGTTTAATAATATATATTTATAATATATAAAATGATGCTTAGACATGCTAATGTAATCCTTATAAAATTTAATTGATTGTATTTTAAGTGCTATTATCACTTTTATGATTTTGATTGAACTTATTTAGAAAATGTAATCTGAGTATAGAAAAAGCTTTGAAATAAGATAATTACCATTTAACATTAAATCCATAGTTATTGTTCACACGATCATTATATATTCTTTTTGATTTAATAATTAGTAATAATACATAAAATTAATAATTACAAAAAATGACTAGAATCATTCTTAAAGATTTTAAAAATTAAGTTTCATATATTATATGTCTTTGATATTGGCGATTAAATTAATAAGAAAGCTGCGCAATGAAGTTGCGCTATACGAAAACAATTTCAAATTATATATAATTAGCGAGAATCTATACGTTGAACACAGGGCAAACTTAAAAATATAAATATCCAATATTTTTAGTCAAATATGGACTTTATTAAGAAGAGTTTTGTATGTAATACACATTATAATATAGCAATGTTGTCATTATCATAGTAAATATTTATAACCCGAATACTTAGATTAAAAATCTATGCTAAATTAATACGAATAAAATAAACTTAAGTGGTATATATTTAGCTTATTATATTCTCAATATTATATTCTATTAACATTACCCATATTTGTAGATTTTTGATAATAAATAAATGCTTTGTATTGATCCTTTTCAACTCCAACTCCTTTATCATAACAATATCCAACACTATATATTCCATTAACATTCCCCATATCCGCAGATTTTTGGTAATAAATAAATGCTTTATGCTCATCCTTTTCAACTCCAATTCCCTTTTCATAACAATAACCAACTTTATTTATTCCATTAACATTATCCATATCTGCGGATTTTTGATAATATATAAATGCTTTATGTGCATTTTTTTTAACTCCAATTTCTTCATCATAACAATATCCGACACTATATATTCCATTAGAATTCCCCATCTCTGCAGATTTTTGATAATAAATGAATGCCTTATATTCATCCTTCTCGACTCCAATTCCATCTTCATAACATTTACCAAGTGCATATATTCCATCAACATCACCCATCTCAGCAGATTTATGATAATAAGTGAATGCCTTACATTTATCCACTTCAATTCCAATTCCTTTATCATAACAATATCCAACACGATATGTTCCACAGATACTTCCCATCTCCGCAGATTTTTGATAGTAAAAGAATGCCTTATGCTCATCTTTTTCAACTCCAATTCCTTCATCATAACAATATCCAACACTATATATTCCATCAGTATCATCCATCTCTGCAGATTTTTGATAGTAAACGAATGCCTTATATTCATCCTTTTCAATGCCAATTCCTTGCTGATAACAATATCCAACACTATATACTCCGTTATTATTTCCCATCTCTGCAGCTTTTTGATAATAAATGAATGCCTTATGTTCATTCTTTTCAACTCCAACTCCTTCATCATAGCAACATCCAACATTGAATATTCCATTAGCATGTCCCATCTCAGCAGATTTTTGATAATAAATGAATGCCTTATGTTGATCCTTTTCAACTCCAATTCCTTCATCATAACAACATCCAACATTATATGTTCCTTCAACATGCCCCATCTCTGCAGATTTTTGATAATAAATAAATGCCTTATGTTCATCTTTTTCAACACCAATTCTATTAAAATAACAATATCCAACATAATACATTCCATCAACATCATTCATCTCTGTAGATTTTTGATAATAAACGAATGCCTTATGTTCATCCTTTTCAACTCCAACTCCATTAAGATAACAATATCCAACTTTACTCATTCCATTAGCGTGTCCTAATTCTGCAGATTTTTGATAATAAATGAATGTCTTAAGATCGTCTTTTTCAACTCCGATTCCGTTAAGATAACAATTTCCAACACTATATGATCCATTAGCATTTCCCATATCTGCAGATTTTTGATAATAATTGAATGCCTTATGTTCATTTTTTTCAACCCCAATTCCTTTTTCATAACAATATGCAACTCGATATATTCCATTAGCATTTCCCATTTCTGCAGATTTTTGATAATAAGTGAATGCCTCATGTTCTTTTTTTTCGACTCCAAACCCTTTTTCATAACAATATCCAACATTATATATTCCGCTAGCATTTCCCATCTCTGCAGATTTTTGATAGTAATTGAATGCCTTATGTTCATTCTTTTCAACTCCTATTCCTTGTTGATAACAATATCCAACGCTACATGCTCCACTAGCATTTCCCATTTCTGCAGATTTTTGACAATAAGCGAATGCCTTACATTCATCCTTTTCAATTCCAATTCCATTAATGTAACAATTTCCAACACTATTAGTTCCACAAGAATTTCCCAACACTGCAGCTTTTTGATAATAAACGAATGCCTTATTTTCATTCTTTTCAACTCCAATTCCTTTTTCATAACAATATCCAACACTATACGTCCCACCAGCATCTCCCATATCAGCAGATTTTTGATAATAAGCAAATGCTTTACGTTTATCCTTTTCAACTCCAATTCCATTAAGATAGCAATATCCAACTTTACATATTCCACTAGCATGTCCCAATTCTGCAGATTGTTGGAAATAAATAAATGTATTATGATGATCTTTTTCAACTCCAATTCCATTAAGATAACAATTTCCAACACTATATGTTCCATTAGCATTTCCCATATCTGCAGATTTTTGATAATAACTGAATGCCTTATGTTCATTTTTTTCGACCCCAATTCCTTTTTCATAACAATGTCCAACACTATAAGTTCCACTAGCATTTCCCATTTCTGCAGATTTTTGATAATAAGCGAATGCCTCGTGTTCTTCTTTTTCGACTCCAATTCCTTTTTCATAACAATATCCAACATTATATATTCCGCTAGCATTTCCCATCTCTGCAGATTTTTGATAGTAGGCGAATGCCCTATGTTCATTCTTTTCAACTCCAATTCCTTTTTCATAACAATATCCAAGACTAAATGCTTCTCTAATATCCCCCATCTCTGCAAATTTTTGATAATAAATTAATGCTTTATATTCATCTTTTTCAACTCCATTTCCATTTTGATAACAATTTCCAACTATATATGTTCCACTAGCGTCCCCCATCTCTGTAGATTTTTTACAATAAATGAATGCCTTGTGCTCATTTTTTTCAATTCCAATTCCATAATGATAACAATAACTAACATTACATACTTCTTTAGCATGTTCCAGATCAGCAGATTTTTGATATTTATCAGTATTCGCAACTATTGCATCCCAATAACTTTTAATTGGTGGATACCAATCTGAAAATTTTTTTATATTTTGTGAATTTTCGCAAACATTAATTATAGAATTGTATAAATCGACAATGTCTTCGTGATATTGTTTCGATGGTGGGGAATACGCACTTGTACCATTTTTAAATGGCGCAAATAGTTTGAGAAATTTTTCATTTTTAATCCTTGCGCCAAGAATATTAAGGCAGTCAATGTTATGTGCACTCATCCCACTGATTTTTCCTTTGGCTATCTCTAAAGCTTTTTGAAAAGCTTCCCGAAATTTTCGTTCTAACCCACCTAATTTTGTTGAATTTTTTTCTGTGACATGTTGCACCATAAGTATATCAGGTGATATTATAGCCTTCTCAAGGCGTGGCATTGTCACAATTGCCACCTGTACAGTCTTTAAAATTTCATTCAACTCACTCATTGATTCTCCAAGTATGTTAATAATTGTTAAATTGCTTATTCCCATTGCAAAGGTTGCTAACATTCGATCTTTCTTTTCTGATTCTGGTTCACCTATTTTTTCTGGTGCACCAAGTCCTTCAGTATCTATTAAGATAAAAGCATCAATACCGAGTAAATCTGATAACTCTTTTTCTAAAAACGATAATCGCATAAAAAACCCTTTAGTACAACGCCCAGCTGAAACTGCAAATTTACACGCAAAAAGTGCATTTAGAAGAGTAGACTTTCCAGATGACTGTAATCCAAGTATACTGATTACAAAAACTCTAAGGTTCGGAAATTTTTTATTAATACAATTACAAATTGTTGAAAACCAATCCTCGGATATAGTTGTAGAATCACCATCAAGCAATTCTATAGTATTACCACTAATTAACAACTCAGCACAATATTCTGGTATTTTTAAAACGCCTTCTTTGGTAAGACCATTGATGGAAATAGTTTTTGAATCATCATCAGAATCAGAAATAAAAATCTTATAAATATGTCCTAATTCACGGAAAAAATGTTCTATACCTAAACTTGAGTTATCAACTTCTTTCCAAAGTTCTGTAATTGACTTTCGAATCTCTTCATACTTTTCTTGATTATTGTTGATAATTCTTGCCCAATCTAATTCTTTTCTTTTGAATATAGCATTATTTCGAGATTCAGAAGACTCTTCCGTAGAAAGTCTGGACAATTCTCCTTCAAGATGTGCTAGAGCTTGTCTTCTTTCATAGATAGGTTGAGCTAGAATACTGGTGAATTGTTTAATTAGATCCTGAAACTCAGTTGTTTGCTGCCAATATTGTATAAAGTTAGATATGTCTTTAAATTGTTTTTTTTGACATTGCATAACATTTAGTTTAATGTGACGACAAGTTTTACCCTTAATAAAATTTACAATATTCCTAGATTCAAGAAATTTGGTATTTCCAGCAAATTGAAGTGTATTTCCTAATTTTAATTCATTGAAATTAATTGCATTTATTGGTGATCTGAAGTCTAATGCTAAAACTTCGTCAAAAATTTTGCAGAGTTTTTTTATTGTTTTATTATTCTCCAATAAATTTGTATTAATTGTATATTTCTTTATATCGATATCTTCACTGTTTCTAGGATCTACGTAATTATATATCGCTTTTTTAGGATTAATTAAAGTTTTAATCTTATCTTTTTGATTTTGGTCGTATCCAGGCATCAAGTAAACCAAGAAGCAAGAGGAAAATTGCTTCAAGAATTCTATTTGATCAGGATAATCCAAAGCATCACCATGTAAATTTGCAAGTAATATAATCTCTCTTCCTCCTTTTGCATAATGATTTTTAAAAATCAGATTCCAGAGGGCATCTCCACAAGTCTCTTCAGTTAACCAAACGAACTCGATACTTCCTCTGATCATATTTGGGATTCCATTTTCTGCACTTGGATCAGAATATGAAGTAAACATATCTTTTGAACTCATTAACTGATTAATTATAGTACTTTTGCCTTTAGGACCTGATCCAATTCGAACTGTAACAATCATTTTGAAAGAATCTTTGAAAAGATGATTTTCTATTATTGTTCCATTAATTGTTTTCCATTTAATAACTGGTCCTGTTAATAAAGGAATCATCACTTTATACTTTTTTTCCTCATCTAATTTGGGTATCAATAAAGGAAATGCAATTGGAAATTGAGATATAATTTGAAAGATATCTTGAATTACAGTAAATTCAGCCAAAGCAAATAAAATGGCAATGTAATCAAATCGAGATAATCTGTTTGATTCAACATCGGGGAACTGTTCATCTTCCTCATCATAATCTATTAAATATTTGTCGAAGTTTTCTGCTTTAAGAATATCAACTCCCCACATCTTAATTTTTTGCTGGATATATGTAAGTATTGTGATCACATTTTTACGAATTTCATTAAATGATAATTTTGGTGGTGAAATAATTTTGCCAAGTTTAATATAATTTTTGTGTTCAATTAACGGTAGTTCTTCATCTAAAATTGAATGCCATTGTTTATTTATTTTTAAAATTTTATGCTCATCCCGAGCAATTTTAAGTTCTTCCAACGCAAAATCGTTAGTTTGATCAATTTCTAATGCTTTTTCTAAATCTTCAAGCGCTTCTTTAAATTTCTTGAAGAACAAACGATAAATAGAACCACGGTGTGATAAAGCAAACACATTATCTGGTTCGATGTCTAATGAAATATCAAAACATGTAAATGATTCATTATATCTTTTGATATTGTAATGTGACAATCCATGCTGTCGCAATGATTGTGCAAATTTTTTGCTATCTTCAAGCTTTCTTTCATTCAATTTTCTTAAATAATTTATCGCAAATATATCATTTGGATCAATTTTTAAAACTTTATACAAGTATTCAATTGATTCCTTGCTTTTATTAAAACAATAATTGACTGCTGCAATTTCTTTCAATGTAAATATATCGTCTGATTCAATGCCTAGTGATTTTTTTAATTGCTCTTGTGATAGTTCATATAGGTTTCTTTCTCGATAATTTGCTCCAAGAAATTTTAATGTAAATGGGTCATTTTTCTCAAGTTCATTTGCTCTGTTTAAATCAGAAATTGATTCACAATTTTTCTTCAAAAAGTAATAAGCCGCACCCCGATACTTTAACGCAAATGTATTATTTTTATTAATTTCTAATAATTTGGATAAATGTTGAATTAGAGTTTCGTACATTTCTTCCTTGAAGTAAAATAATGCCAGTTTTTCTGGATCATTTTTAAACTTTTCATAGTACAAGTTAGTTAGTTCAAATTTAACATCAGCTAAAGATGGCCTCTCAGATGAATTTTGATTGCAGCATTTTTTTATTAAACTTATTAATCTGCCAGGTGTATTTTTCGTTTCAAGTTCTTTAATCAAATCTTCATTTTCGCCAGTAACCTTGGCATTTTTTAGTTTATCAAAATCTTCTATGTCTTCATATGGTCTGTATATTAGATTTTTGTTAGTTGTTAGCATATGAATATAAATCCATTACAAAAATTATTCATAATAAACAAATCAAGCTTACTTTTTACCATTCATTGCAATTTCCCACATAACTAATCCACAACTATAAATATCTGTGAACAATATATATATATATATTATCTTATAATAATCGTCTCGAGCTTTTACATTATTAATATTTAAAATATACCTGAAAGTTTCTCTTCACCCATTTTTTGATTTCTTGAGATATATTCAGGAGCAGCCCATCGTACATTTTCTAATGTACAGACAAATTGAATTAGTGATTCTAACATGAAATTTTGGTGCATTGCATTGTTAGCTTACCTATATTATCAAATTCCCCGTTTTTGATAAAGCCGAAACCCGCAATCTTTAATTCTAAGTTTTTATCCACTAATATATTTTCAGAATTTATATTTAAATGTATAATATTATGATCATGACATTCTAATAACCCTAATGCGATATCAATGGTCATTTTTAATTTTGCATCCCACTCAAGTTCATTTTTCGAAAGATAATCATGTAAGTTTCCATTTTCTACGTAATCCATTATTAAGCATTTAATGTTATCTGGAGATTGTGTTATTCCACGAAAGTTGATTACATTTTTGCAATAAAAATGATCATGCTTCCGAATTTCATCAATTATTATTTCTTTTCTTTTATTATTAATTTTTTTTGGTTTTTTAACTACAGTGTTAGAAGAAAACAATTTTTAAAATGCAATTTAAAATGGTTGATTTTGAGTTTAATTCTTTAGCATACAAGCTGGTAATAATACCATATATAATAAATACCTGCAACTGCAATTTTGTAATATTCTGCACGCTCAATGATGCTAAATGTTCCTTCACGGGTTTCTTTTCTGTATATAATGTTGCCATATGGAATAAAATCAGATTTTTTGACAAACCAAGACATTATACTGTAAAATAGTAACAGATGAAAAAATTGACTTGAAAAACAGTATATTTTAGTTTAAAAGTTTTAGATAAGCCGATGGCTTATAATGAAAGAACTTTATTTATAGTTGCCGTTCAAACTGTTTAAGATGGTTCAACTATGTGATAATTAAAGCATATTGATTTCAATCACTTAAATTCTTATAGTTAAAACTATATAATACTAATTATCACATGGTTCGGGCTGTCCCAAATACGACGGCAACCATACAAGCTACCCCTGTTCAACTCAAATTCTTAATAAGGAAAGAAATTGTCGTGCGTACGTACGTACATACGTACGTAAGTACAGTCGCCTCACAAAGTTTACCACGATTACACGAAAAACATAATAAAAAAGCAACGCAAATCGAGTTAATATATTGCGCAAATTAATGCGTACGTATAAGATTACATAATGATTCTGCAGTATATATCGATATCGATATTGTATACGTATTAAATATCATGACCATTATTATGAATGACTTCACTAATCCAATTTGACATATTATTGATTTTTATGTATGCATGCTTTTTTGCATAAATTTTTGTTTTTTTTGTTTTTATGTACCCATGTTAAACTTTGTGCGTACGTACGGATATTCTGCGATACAGTGTGATGCAAGAAACCTTAAAACCACATTATTCTTTATAGAAATCAATATTTCCTAAATTATTAACACCAATAAAGTGTGCATATAAAGCTTATTAAAGTCGATAATTTAGGAAATGTTCAACTTATGTTCAACTTTAATGTGTTACTTGATTATGCATTACATTAGCTCTATAGAAATTGCGGATTTAATTTTTTGCTTAAGTATAATAAATAATCTGTAATGTAAAATAAGTTAATTACTCTTAAATTTAATCTTTTGTATCTATAAGGTGGTAATTGTGGTTTTTATATTTCTTGCACCGTACTGTTACAGCACTGCATGTAATACCTCGTTAAAGATGTATCCACTTTAAAATAGTATAGCTGATAGGGTACTATTCATCCCACGTACGTACGTACGTACGTACTAATCTGATTTCTGAATCAATTATCCTGTCATGAGATCAACTTGTGTAAGAAGTAAAAAAGATAGAACTTTATTTTTTGGCAAATCTAAAAAGGAAATTTATCTAAGTCAATATACCTGTTAGGAAAGATTATAGAGCTGCAGCATTTGACTCGTTTTGTTTTTAATCAAGACTTTTATAATAAGCCGCACAGGTAGAACAATAAGCCTTTCCGATAAGTATTCTTCAACTTTCTAAATATTTTGTAAATATTTTCTAACGGTTTAAATTACAAGTGAAAGAGTTGTGGAAAGAATCTAGATAGTATAGCATATATTCGGAAAAGAATAATTTAAAAAAGATTTGCTGTTCCACCTATGCAGTTTCTTGTTCGACTCTAATAACCATAATAACTTGGTCCATTATATATCAAGATCACAAATTGTTTACTGAATTAATTTTATGGTAATGGTTTTAAGTTTAAATATCCAATATACCAGAGGTCTGCTAAAACAGGGTTATTTCAATAAGATAGCTGTGCAACATTGTCGCGCAAACTAGGAACGGAAGGTATGATTTCGGATTTGCATGCAAAGTGAGTTGAGTACTAATTACACTAAAAAAAATTTAATGAGTTATATTTATTGGTATAATTTATATTTCAGCAAAACGTTCGATAAAAATGAAAAGAATAAAAAGACTTAATAAATACGCCTTTTTTAAACATAGCCCTACAATAAATTACCATAATTATCTTTCTTATTTATTTTATAAAGTATATAAAGAAATGAGATTTATTTATGTGTACAGTAATCCTTCCATAAAATCACCTCCTACATAATCACAAACTCTATATAATACATGATTATGTACGGTTGTTTTTTTTTTTAATATCGAATAAGGTAGCTGCACGACACTGACATGCGAAACCAGGAAGAATTACTCGATTAGATAATGTGGATATGGTGCACATTATCTAAAACATCCAAACTTGCATTCTTCATATGCTTCAAATTTCACAATCCTCTTATTATAAAATTATCGCATGTCACGAGTGTCTCTTACATTTTTACCAATCATTTTGCACGTGTAATATGAGATGGCATTATTGAATAGTATCTAATCAAAAGCGTTACAAGTCATATAGAGTTAACGTCAATGGTTCTGTCCAGTTTTGGAAGGATTTAAGTATGAAAAATTCAAAAACACGATCCTACGTATGAATTATTTACAGATATCATGTAATTGTAATGCTGTCATGTATTCAAACTGTACGTAGTTTGAGTAATATTCCAATATTTTAGTGATCAGTTATATGAATGTCAAAGTCTGTAATTATTGAAGTAATGCAATTGTAATTGATTTATAAATTAATCATTTATATGTAAAATTGTGAATCAAGAATATAAAATCAGACAGTTATGGCATTCACAGTCTGATTTTTACACACACATATAATTAATTACTAATTAAATAATTGGGATATGGGTAATTAGAGTTAGGTTAGAGTTAAAATAAGATTAGATTACGATAAAAGTTTTGGTTAAAGTAGGATAAAATTATAAAAAATACTTTTGCTTAGTTATACAACAGGATTACTCTAACCAAAATTTTGAGATATTGGCGATTTTATTATAAAGGCACAAAGTGAATAGAGCACTAACTAGTTCTGTTCTATAAAAAATTCTATTAATTATTAATAATTAATTAGTATTATATGTATTAATTATGAATTTAGATAGCTTTATTTAAAATATTTACTTAATAAATTAGTAAAAATAAAACAAATATCCAATTTACAGTGTCCTTATTAATTTTTAATATTTAATAGGATATTCAACCTTATGCGCTATTAATTTATTTAATTTTTACTTTATAAGCACACTTATATTATTATAAAGAATTTTTCTTAAATAAATTTAAAACATGAAGCAATTACAAGTTCATTTCGTAAAAAATTTATTCACCAACAGTTCGTTTTACAGAAAGTTTTTTTTTTTTTTTATAAATTACACTAACTATAAATCTAATTCTAAACCTTAAATAAGCTGCTAGTAAAATAAATTATTTGTAAGATAAACTTGTTAGAGAATTAATTGCTTATAAATTACTTATGCTATAAATTAATTGTCTGTAAACTAAGTTGTCTGTAATTAATTGTTTGTAAAATAAGTTGTAATATCTATGTTTATGATCATAATTCTTACGAAAATATTAATGATTTGAAAAATGAATCATTGATAAACTTTTATCAGAGCCAATAAATTCAATTAGATACTAACTTTGATAATATAAAGATAGTCAAATACTTTGGTAGAAAATTTTTTTTTTGCTTATTATAGTGTTACATGGATATATTACCAGAGGATGTTTAATAGTAAACATTATTGAAAATTGCAACAAAAAGCTTAGCAAAGAAAATAAGATATAGCTGATATCGCTTAGCAAAAAATTATTTAGAAGATACCAAATTTACAAGTATTATATAATAAACCTAAATGTATTTATAGTAAATAATTTATTTTTTTCTTAATATAAATATCTCCTATGAAGCAATACAAGTAAATATATATATATAATAAAAGAAAGAGCCAAAAATTAAAAAATAAACCAAAGCAAATAAAAGAGATGAAAATAAGAAAAATAAATGAGAATACTCTGTAAGCAAAGAATAAGTAAATATAATATAAAATCTATTAAAATCGAAACTTGAGATGAAAAAAAAAGTTATGAATCAACAGACAATACTTTATTTAATGTTCGTAATCAGGCATATTAGTCTCACCTAGTGATTAATTACAGATGCAATTACTTATAAAAAATCAAAATAGATTGTTGATTTTTATATATTATACCATGTGACAATTAGCATCACATGGTTTCGTCATCACTAGTCTCATCATATGCGGTATTATATGCTACGCAGACATCATTTTTATTATTTTCAAGGCAATGATGTAATACATTGATTATGTCATTGTAATCTTTTTTTAAGCAACCATAATTTTTTAATTCTGACTCATCTGCTGGTTCACATCCAAACTTTTCAGCCAGATCTTCATGCAACTGTTCAAAAAACCAACACATAATTTCATTAAAATTAGTTATAAAATGCGGTTCAAATTTCCAATTTTGAAAGTCAATAGATTTTGCTTCATCCCATTTTAGATTTTTTTGCTCTTCCTTGATATATTGCACTCTACTTTCATTTGGACGTTTATGGCAGGCTATCGCTCTTAACTTATTTGTGCGTGAATTTTTTGTCCCTTTAAGGCCTCCTGGTTGATGGCTAGTATGATGCCTGTTTGTTTCTCCGCTATTTTCATGATGGCCTCTTCCTCCCCAACATAAAGCTCCACACCAGTAACAAGGTTTTGTGCATCCTAGCCTTTTCATAACAAATTCATCATCAGATGGATTTGATAATTCTCCTTCTTTTAGTCGAAAATAACTACTTCTTTTATCATAGAGCTCTTTCATGATAGCTTCATGAAACATGTCAAAATTTTCATCAATTGAATCATCTTTAATGTTCAATTGGTAATCAACATCAACATCTGTCATATAGTTATTTACAAACTTACTGATATCATTATAACTTTTATAATTGCGAATTTTCTGATAAACATAATTAAATTGTTTATCAGAAATTTCTTTATATTTTTTTCCTTTTATTGTATATTTATTAATCTTATTTTTAAACCACTCTTCGATCGTTTTTTTTTGGATATTTAAAATGCGATATTGCTTTATCTTTGTCACCATTATGAATTTGCTTAGCAAGTTCAATAAAATATTCAAGTCTAATTGTTTCAGAGTTTTTTATCCAAGGGATGCTAAGTACATTATCTCTTTGATACCGATTTTCTGCATCTATCGCTTTTTTATGAATAACTTTCAATAAATAGTCTCCAGCCACGTGGCCTTTATATATATGCAAATTATCATATTTAACACGAAGCTGAATCTTTTCCTTATATCCATCTTTTATTTTATCCAATACTCCAACTAATGTATTATGTTTATCACTGTTTTCTAGAATTCTTAACATCGTTAATATTACGTATACATGAACATGCATTTTAAAATCAGAATTAAATTCCTCATCAAGTTTAGTTGAAAGATTCTTCAATACTTTTTCTGTTTTATCTTTAAGTTCATTTACAATTTTAGGAATTTTCGGATCAAAATTATCAGTCTTAGATAAAATTTGGTTTATCTCAGATTAATTTCCTTTTTGAGCCATTCTATGTCATTTTGTTCCAAACGTTTTTTCCTAAACAAGTCGAACCAACCAAACCAATCGGCATTGCATATTGCATCAATATTAGATAATTCTGGAATATTTTTATTTATGTGATTTTTTAAATCTATTCCATATTCTTCATATTCTTTATCTGCTTCATTAATGATTTCTTCTTTCATGATTTCTTTTTTTGTTAATACTTTTTCACACAATGATTCCCATATTTTATTTATTTCTTCCTGCGGATTTAAGACTATTTCTAATAACCTGTCAATAAATTGATAAAGTCCGAAAAATTTATTTTTATCTCGGTTTAAAATGTTCTCAAGCTTCATTTCAAGTTCTGTGGATTTTAATTCACGACAATCTTTGATATGCTTATCGATAGTTTTATTAGCATCATCTTTACAATTAACATCATTTCTTCCTTCAAGATAGTTATTTAATTTACCTCTCTCTTCGTCTACCGTTTTGCATTCTTCACAATCTACCTTAAAACTAATCTCTGGAACATCATCTAACTTTTTAATCAATTTTTCACATTCTTTTCTAATTAAATTCACACTTAAACCTTTTGAAAGCCATTCCTGAACAGTTGATTGAATTTCTTTTTCTATCAATTCCTTATGTTTTAAAAATGTTGTGTCAATAATTTCTTTCAAATTTGTAATTTGCTTTCCAAGTTCAATAAAATTATAAGTTTTTTCATTATTCTTTATGATCGAGGAATCTTTATTATCCCAGTTATTTTTAATTAGATGAAACCAACGTGAAAAATTTTCCTTACTTTGTCGATTTTCGCAGTTATTCATTATAGATTCGTATAAGTCGGCAACATCCTCATAATGATATTGTTTTGATTGAGAAGAATAAGTTGTTATACCATTTTTAAATGGTGCAATTACTTTGAGAAGTTTTATATTATTAAGAAATTCAAAGCCGAAAACTTCTTGAAAGTTTTCATGAAATTTCTGTTCTAGTTCTGGCTTTGTCACATTATTTTCTGCGATTTGTTGTACTATAAGTATATTGGGGAACATGCGAAGATTTATCGTTCTCGAGATTTTAGTTAACTCTCTCTTTGAGTCTCCAAGAATGTTAATAATTGTTAAATCGCTTATTTGCATTGTAAAATTTGCTAACTCTCGATCCTTTTTTTCTAATTCTGGATTATTTATTTTCTCTGGTGCACCAAGTCCTTCAGTGTCAATCAAGATAAAAGCGTCAACACCAAGTTGTTCAGATAAGTCTTTTTCCAAAAATAAAAACCGCATCAAAAGCCCCTTAGTACAACGCCCAGCTGAAACAGCAAATTTACATGCAAAAAGTGTATTTAAAAGAGTGGACTTTCCGGAAGAATGCGGTCCAAGTATACTAACTACAAAAATCCTGAGTTTAGGAAATTTTTTATCAATTTTATCGCAAACGGCTAAGAACCAAACTTCAGATATAATTGTAGAATTACCATCAAGTAATTCTATAGTGTGACCATTAATTAACAGATCTGCATAATGATTTGGTGATCCCTTAAGATTTACTATAGTTGGATCGTTGGAATCAAAAACAAATTTATACATATGTCCTATTCCACGAAAGAAATGTTCGATTCCCAAGCTTTTATTATCAACTTCTTCCCAAAGGTTTGTAATTTCTTTACGAATTTTGTTCTTTTCTCCTTCATTACCATTCAGATTATTTAATTGTTCCCTTTTCGATATAGCGTTTTTCCGAGGTTCAGAAGACTCTACTATGGAAAGCCTGGATAATTCTCTTTCAAGATGTGCTAAAGCTTTTATTCTCTCTCTAATAGGTAGTGCTATAATAGAAATGAATAATCGTAGCTCTTCGAAAATTCCATCTTTAGGTTGCTTTCCTTGAAGTTGCATAATCTTTAATTTAATGTCACGGCAATTTTTACGTTTAATACAATCTATAATGTCCTGGGATTTATCACACTCTATATTTTCAGCAAGTTGAAGTTTTTCTCCCATTTCTAATTTATAAATTGAAAAATTATCATGATTAGCAGGATCGGAATCAACGACATCTTTAATATTTTTATAAACTTCTTTTATTGCATTATCTCCAAGATTCTCATAGATGTATTTAACTTTTTCTGAACCAATCAATTTTTCGAGTTCAACTTTTTGAACTTTTTGAACTTCATTTTTAGGCGGCAAGAAAACCAAGAAATAAGAAGGTAATTGTTTTAGAAATTTTAGTTGATATTGACAATGTAAGGCATCACCATGTAAATTGGCAAGCAATATGATCTCTTTTCTTCCTTGTTCATAATAAATTTTTTCAAAGATACTCTTCCATAGGTTAGGATCACAAGTCTCTTTTGTCAGCCAAACAAACTCAACACTTCCATCGATCATGTGTTGAATTCCATAATTGGTTCTTAGCTCAGAACATGGTGAGAACATATCTTTTGAAGCCATCAACTGATTAAGTATAGTATTTTTTCCTAGAGAGTTCTCTCCAGTCCTAACTGCAACAATCATTTTAAAAGAATCTTTAAAAAGATGATTTTCTATAATTGATCCATTGCTTGTACAACATTTGATCGCTAATCCGGTAAACAAAGGAAGCATTACTTTAAAATTTTCTGCATTTTCTAAATCGGGTATCAATAATGGAAATGCAATTGGAAATTGAGATACAGTTCGAAAGATATCTTGAGCAACAGAACATTCAGTAGAGGCAAATAGTGAAGCAATGCAATCAAATCTTGATATTCTGCCTCTTTTGTTTTCATCCATGACTAAATTTACTAAGTTTTCTGCCTTAAGAACGTCAACTTAACGCATTTTAACTTTCTGTCAAATATATGGAAGAATTTCAGCCACATTTGCATGAATTTCATGAGATAACAATTTTGGTTTAGGAATAAGTTTACTAAGCATAAAATAATGTTTGGATTCGATTAAAGGTAATTTTTCATCCAAAATTGAGTACCATTTTGTATCTATTTTTAAAACTTTATTTTCGTTTTGTGGAAATGGTGAGATTTGAGATAGAATGGTGGAGGGTCGAAATTTTGATCGCAACATCCTCCGTGCTTCATTATTTCCTTTTTCGGCAGATTCATAGAGGAATTGGACCATACTTTCATCTATATCTTTCCAAGACCATTTTGTTAGAATAATTTGTGCTTGATGATTCCCATCTTCAGCATATTTCGTATACAATTTCAATGATTCCAGTGGGTTTTTTCCAGGGCCAATTCCTTCACGATAGCAATGTGCAAGACTACATTGTCCCAAATGGTTTCCACCTTTGGCAGATTTTTCAAACCAGTAGAATGCCTTCGAGAATTCTTTCCTTGTGCCTATTCCATCTTTGTTGCATTTTCCAAGATTATTTTGATCCCAATAATTTTCACTTTCAGCGAAATTCTGAGTACAAAGAAAATTTCGAAGGATCCTGAAAAAATTGATTAAAAATCGTCATTATGATTTTTTTAAAATTTTTTAAACCAATTATATTAAAATATGACAGAGTAATGAATACTTACTTCTTTTTTCGTCATTATTTTTATAAATAAAACGAAACATTAAGTATTAATATAAATTTATAAGTATAAATCAGAATAATTGATATACATACGAATCGAAACATTCTCCCATTCTCATTCTCCCATATTACCACCTGATTGTGATCATATTCTTTGGCCTTTATACAAGCTTCTTTAGCATGAATCAATAAATCATTAGAAGCTTTTACCGAGGAATTCACTGCAGAAACACCAATGCTGAGCGTAATCGACTGCAGTTTTTTCTCTTTAAAATTAAACAAATAAGCAGATCTAATTTCCTTAGCAATTTCATAGGCCGACTCTAAGCATGTATCAATAAGAATCTAGTAAATCCTTTTTCCTCATATTTAGAAAAAATATCTTTATCACGAAGATGTTCATTTTGAATTAACATTGTTAATTCTTTTAAAACATCATCGTCGATTTCTTTAAAATCTAAATCAAAAAACAATAAACACAATTTTTTATTATTTTTAAATTCGTCTGCCAATCTTTTCTGCAAGTATGAAGTGTTATAAATTTGTAAAATGGATCATTGTTGCTTTTAAATTCTCCTGCGGGAAGATATCGAAAAGTACTACATCCCATTTTAATCTCGTCATTTTTTTTAAAAATATGTAAACGTGATTCAGATTTTCTATTAATAAAAATTTCTGATTTAGAATCAATGCGGAAAATTGTAACTTCTCCACGATAATTTATAATTTTTGCATGCTTTTTATTAATTTTTTGGTCCTTTATAATGATATAATTTGAATCGTTCCTTCCTAAATGTATTTCTCTTTCAGGGAGGAAAAGGTATTGATTAGTGCTTGGACCCGTTCAAAAAAACGCTACCCGGGTAACCCGGCGGGTAAACCCGCGGGTTACCCGGATGATCGACGGGTACACCCGGGTAGAAATTTTTCAGGTGATAACCCGGGTAGACCCAATAGAAATAAGATATCACATGAACATAGACCAATC